CTGACTAACCAGAGAGGTCGACTGGAGGTTGGCCAATGTAACACCCATCCACAGGATGGGCTGAAAGGAGGCTCTGGGGAACTAAGGCCTGTTGGCCTGACCCTGTTGTCCAGGAAGTTTATGGAACAGATAATCTTGAGTGTGATCACATGGCACATACAGGACAACCAAGGGATCAGGACAAGCCAGCATGGGTTTAGGAAAGGCAGGTTCTGCCTGATCAATCTGATCTCCTTTTGTGATCAGGTGACCCACCTAATGGATGAAGGAAAGGCCGTGGATGTTGTTTGCCTTAAGTACTTAAGGACTTAAGTAAAGCCTTTGACACTGTTTCCCACCACATTCTCTTGGAGAAACTGACTGCTCAGGGCTTGGACAGGTGCACTCTTTGCTGGGTTAAAAACTGACTGGCTGGTCAGGTCCAGAGAGTGGTGTTGAATGGTGTCATATCCAGTTGGTAGCTGGTCACTAGTGGGGCTTAGTGTTGGGGCCAACTCTGTTTAATATCTTTATTGATGATCTGGATGAGGGAATTGGGTGTACCGTCAGTAAGTTTGAGGACAACACTAAGTTGGGTAGGAGTGTTGATCTGCTGGAGGGCAGGAAGGCTCTGCAGAGGGATCTGAACAGGCTGGATCGATGGACTGAGGCCAGTGGTATGAGTTCAACAAGGCCGGGGCAAGGTCCTACACTTTGGCCACAACAACCCCATGCTGTGCTACAGGCTTGGGGAAAAGTGGTTAGAAAGCTGCTCAGCAGAAAAGGACCTGGGGATGCGATCCGACAGCCATTTGAACAGAAGCCAAGAAGGCCAATGGCATCCTGGCTTGTATCAAAAATAGTGTGGCCAGTAGGACTAGAGCAGTGTACTCAGAACTAGTGAGGTCACATCTTGAGTACTGTGTCCAGTTCTGGGCCCCTCACTGCAAGAAAGACCTTGAGGGGCTGGAGTGCATCCAGAGAAGAGAATGGAGCACAAGTCCTGTGAAAAGCAGCTGAGGGAGCTGGGGTTGTTTAGGCTGGAGGAAAGGAGGCTCATGGGAGACCTTATCACTTTCTACAACCACCTGAAAGGAGGTTGTAGCCAGGTGGGGGTCAGCCTCTTCTCCCAGGCAACTAGTGACAGGAAAGGAGGACATGGCCTCAAGCTACACCAGGGAAGGTTCAGGTTGCATGTCAGGAGGAATTTCATAATGGAAAAGGTTATTAAACATGGGAATGGACTGCCCAGGGAGGTGGTAGAGTCACCATTCCTGGAGGTGTTCAAGAAATGACTGTATGTGGCACTTAGTACCATGGTCTAGTTGGCAAGGTGGTGATCCGTCAGAGGTTGGACCTGATGAACTTAAAGGTTTTTTCAGTCTAAATGATTCTGTGATAACTGCCTTATGCTAAGTATTGAATTGATACCTACAATTTTTTCAACTGTCTCTGATGTCAGATGGGTCAACCACAAATGAAGAATCTCCCAATATCCCCTAGATCTACTTAGAGTAACTAAAGAATTAAAAGAAGACTGCTCTTCTGTCATTTTCATAATTATTCTGGAATTAATTTTCTCTTTCAAATGTGATTTCTAAGGGCAGATGTGCACGAAGTTGCTCCCATGTACCTAAGCTATAAATAAGAGTAATAACTTTAAAAAAAAAAGAGTACTTTGCAGAGAAAACTTGCATGTTGCTAATGCAAATGCTCAAAGTGTAAGCGTAAGTCTGAAGCTTGTTGGAAAAAATATCTTTGGAAATGTTGCCTTTTCTCATAAATGAAAGTAAAATCAGTGTTATTATGTGATATTAAATTAAGGTCCTACTGTGCTTTTCCTATGTATGACCTGCACTTCTAGCAGTTATGAAAATGAACAGTGATGTTAGGACGTGAGTATGTTATCTCTTCCTTCTCTCAGGCACAGCTGTTGTCTCTTGTTTTTTTCAGAAAACGTGCAGTGAAGACAATGAAATACTAGTGTTTTCCAGGTTTAATTTCCAAGTGGCAGTGGGGAACACAGAAGCAATATTCAAAAGTACACCTTGCTATTAATTTATCAAATTTCTTAATGTTTGGAACAGGGGTTGAAGCAGAAATAGTAGAATGAACTGCTTGGACGTGAAAGAAGAAGGAATGGGTCTTTGATTAGAAAACTGCTCAGAGCAGAGTATTTCCTCCAGAGCTATTCTAGGGCTTTGGCAGAGAGTTTTTCCTGTCTACAGAATTAAAATGCTTTGCCCATCTTGTCATTATTCATTATAATTTTTGCCTGGTTCGGGAACCACTATATAGTAGACGATCACTTCTTAGCACAGTGAGCTCTCTTGCCTTCAGGACACATACACAAGTATAGAGGATTTGGGCAAACTGCATTCCCTGGCGTGCTGCCTGTTTCGTGTGTTTGAGAAGTGCTTCACATGTACTGAAACAGGCGTGTATTATCCTTCTACAGTCAGTATTTAAGTGACATGCTTTTTCAACTCAGCATACCCCGCAAAACTGGGAGGCTTTTGCATTGCTTTAGAAAAGAAGATTAATGCTGGTTACAAGGATGATATTAATTTGAGATGAGAAGAATAATTTTAGCTACTAGGTGAAAAAGTGAAGATGACATAATCCTTCAGCAAAGGAACTATGTAAGAGTAGCTGCAAGGACTTTTTTTTTTTTTTTATAACAGTAAGCACTATAGAAGAGGCCAAACTCTATTTTCAGATCTTCACTAATTTGTCAGAGAAATTTGCTCTGCATATTTAAAGCTTGTGTAATCTTATTCTCAGTGCTGCATATTTACGGATTTCTGGAAAAACGGTTCAGGTGTCCTGGAAAATGTAAAAGAATTTTTTGTTTAAGGAAACATTGAAGCATTCTTAATCTTGAAATTTTTACTGACCAGCTGTAACAGTGCTTCTAGAAATATTTACTTCAGAAGTGCTTACAGAAAACATTTGAAGTATAGAATTTGAAGGGGGAAGTAACCTAAGGAATCTGTGGGCTTTCTGTTTTTTTCTGGGTTGTACTTCTCTGGTTTTGAGGTAAGGTAGCTGTAGAGCCTCAATTCCAAATAAACTCTGGGTGGATGAATGAACAAGGTTTACATTTAATTATGTTGAAAGCTGATATTCAGGGGACAGGCTGGGAAAATCTTCTTTTATTAGAAAACTACTTGTGTCAGCGCAGATAAATAACAAGAATCAGAATTTCACATTTGGAAATTGCTTTTCATCTATTTCTGCAAATAATTATTAATTCAAGTGAATACAGATGCATGAACAAGGCTGAAGCCAATCAGTTCTGAAACTTATGGTATTCCTTGTTGGTTTTTTTCAGTCTGGCAATTTGTGTAGTCAATCCATAGTTAATGTAAAAGCAACGACTTCACATTAAAAGTATCCTGAGTTTGTGTAGGAAGGTATCACTTATGGGGACAACACCCCCTCCGCTCTTTTTTTTTTAAAGCTGTAAACTGTGACTGGAATACAGATGACTGCTTTGTAAATAACCATATTGCTAAGAATGTAAAATAAAAGCAAAAAAAACCAGGTGAGGCAAGCTGACTCTAAGTCCTTCCATGCCAGAACAAAATTAAACTGATTCTGTTTGGGGAAGAAAGCTGGTATTAAGTTTGCTGGATTATTCAACATCTGTTTAGTGTGTATCTCATCACTTAGCTGGATGTTATGCAGACTCATTAGAATTCTAGAAGAATTATTTAAGTTTAAAAGTTAAAATATCACAGTGCATTGAAGCAGACTTTTCCTCACTGTTGTTCTACTTACATTTTATTTCACCAGCTTAGAGGCTGAGCAGGCGATGTGTTTGAGTTTTGATTTACATGCAGCCTAATACTCTTTTCAGCCTTTCAGCTGTCTCTAGCATGAATCTTTTGTGAGTATTTGTATCCACGTTGGTTTTGATCAGCAATTTCTCAGAAAATGGAAAACTTGCAAATGGGTGTGAATTGTACTCTTTTATTAATTTCTATCATATACTGAGAGGAAAAAATTGTACATAATATTCCCTGTTTTTAATACAGCTTTGGGACAATTTGCTTTCTTCCAAAAGCTATGATGCCTGTTTAAAAGAAGAGTTGCTCAGCCCTGACAAATTATACTCCAGAAACCATGGGCAAACTATGATGATGAAATACTGACCACTTCGCATAATTCATCTGGACTTATGTTATTTCTGCTCTGTCTCCTAGAGGTTAGAGAACTTACTTAATTTTGTGTCAAAAGCAAGTGGATAATCACATTTGAAATACATAATCTTTGCAGCTAATAAATGAATCACCTATGGAGAACTGAAAGAACCAGTGTTGCTGCTACTTCTATCAATACTCACTATGGAAGTATAGGACTGATCTAAGAGTGAGAGAGAAAATGAGCAAGCTTTTGTTATCTCATAGCTGGTGTGAATCCAGAAGTCTTGATACAGAGATCCTGGAAGCTTAACTTATACATAATTTTCCATTGACTCTTCTGTATTTTGACTACTGATCTTTTCACCTCTGTCACAGCAGACTTTTTTTAACATGCCTTGCATTATTGAGCTCTTCTTTCTGTAAGTAATGTTTAAAAAAAGGAGAGAAGGATCTTGAAAAGCACTTGAAAAATGTAATCATTTGTTTTATGATGCTTATTTGGATTAGCTTCATTTTATTCTAGTTCTGATATTTAACACTGTTCAAAGAACTTAATATTATGTTCTCCATGATGAAGAATCTCTTAAATAACTATAAGTTAAGCATATTTTTTTTGTATTTCGAGATGTACCTTTTAATTTCTTTCTATTTCAAGGTGTGCCTTTTAATTTCTTTGTGTTACTTTGTGGCTTTTATGAATTACTGTTTTCATGGCCACTCTACTCTGTGTGGTTAAATATTTTGAGTGCCCTAGCTAGAAGCAGGATGTCAGCCTGTGTGAACGTGACATTAGTGAAAGTGAAAATGTTGCTTGTGGTGTGTGTTTGTTTCTGTTACATGCAACAAATTATTCCTTAATGGTACCAATTCCAGCTTCGGTCGGCCAGGAGTTGAATGCTACTGCCAACATGATAGCGGAGCTGCAGTAATCCAGCTTCAGTTCCTGATTAATGAGGTTAGTGAAATGATGTATGTGTAATTCAAAGAAGATACAGAATGTATTTTCTTTAATTTCTCATTAAGCAAACATAAAAGTTAGCTAATGCAAATGACTTAGCATGAATGACAAACAGTAAAAAGTTATAAATAAATTAACTTTTTTAGTTTTAGAAAATGCTTGACTAACTGCTGAAAATATCTTTGTCTCTAGAGTGCTCTTTTTTGTAATATGCAAGAACTTAATAGGAATATCTTTTCATGTTGTTGAACATTGCAACTTATCTGTAGAAGTGGTAAAGTACTTTTTCCATAGTACTGCCAAGTTTCACTAGGTAGTTCATTTTATTTTGGTACAGTTACTGTTTTAGACATGAGCTGAATAACGTTCCCTTAAGTTCAGGTGTGTGTTTATAGGGATGTAGCATCTGACATCTGGCAGCAGTGCTGTTAGCTAGGGACAGATTTGAAGAGGGACATCTCTAGCTTTGTCAGCACATAGATATTAGCAGTTGAGTTCGTTGCTTGATTTCTTTACAGACATGGGCATGAAGGAATTGATGTGCACACACTGGAAAAAGCTCCTTCCCCATCACCTCTCAGTATAGCTCTGAACCAAATGTGAGCAAGCTGAACATGTGATCACATCAGTTACCTCATTCCTACTATATCCTGCTTATAATTTTTTTTCATCCTGGTGATAAATATGTGATATATTTCCCCTGTGATGATGTGCTGTTACTAGGGATATGAAAACAAGTTGACTAAAACTTTTTATTTCTCATAGGGAGCTCTTGTGAGTGCCTTGGCTGACGATACCTTACACCTGTGGAACTTGCGTCAGAAGAGACCTGCTATACTTCATTCACTCAAATTCAACCGAGAACGGTAGGGATTGGGTTATTATTGCCTTGCCCCTTAGCATCACACTATGTTCTATTGTAAGATCAGATTTATTAATGCAGTCCAATTCATAACTTCTTAAATAATCGAAACTGGATTTGCACTAGGCTTGAATTTCAGTCTGTTGGGGCCAATAGTACTTGTGAGTAGACACACTAGTCACCTAAACTGAGATGATTTTTCTATTACTTTACATATTGTATTGTTGAACATCAGTTTTCACATCTTTAAAATGTGGAGGGATAGAATACTTTGAATGTATGTCTGCAAAGTAATTTTGGAACAAGAGGAAGCGTATGCACCAACAAGACAACAGTAGTACTAGTTCAATTTTTTACCTGGAAGTTTTTCTCCCTTCATGACAAATTGAAGTTCTGCAGTGTTAGAGCTCCTGTGTGTGTCAGAGAAGCTGAAAACAACTTGCATTTCGACTAGCACATTTGAGACTCAAGTAACAGCATTTTAAGCATTCTAGGGAGACTTTTAAGATTAAACTTCTAAAATTCTGCTGATTAAATGTCTGGAAAAAAAAGTCCTCTTTTGAATTGCAAGTAGTACTTTCTTTTTAGGAAGCAGCCCTTTTTTTCCAGTATGTATAAAGTCTCAACTGGAATGCTGTGTTTACTTTTGAGGAGTATGCATTAGAGATGGACTGCTTGGAGAGCTCAAAGGATACTAACAAGAACACAGAATAATCTGTGACTTGTATCTCTGTTGAATAGAGCAGGAAGTAATAAGCTTTAAGTAATGGATAGCAATAGAAAGAGGTAAGTTAAAAACTTATACAATACCTTCTAATGTAGTGTCATACATAGTGCTAAACAAACTGTTGGTTGGGTTATGTAGTAACCTTGTAGTTTTAAAGAGCAGGTTATAAACAGTTTGTCAGAAATAACATAAATGCAGATTACTGGGGTTTTTTTGCGTAAAGGACTAAGTGATTCTAAGTCCTTTTTGAAGTTGTTTCTAAGATCACAGTGCATAAACTTTTTAATGAGGTCTTTAGGCATAGGACAGGGGGTAATAGCTTTAAACTGCATGATTTAGATTAAGTATTAGAAAGAAATTGTTCACTGTGAGGATGGTGAGATGCTATAACAGATTGCTCAGAAAAGCGGTGGATGCCCTATCCCTTGAAGTGTTCAAGAACAGGTTGGATGGGCTTTGATATTCTGAAAGATGTCCCTGCCCAGAGCAAGTGGATTGGACTAACTGGTATTTAAAGGCCCCTTCAGACCCAAAGCATTGCGTGATTCTGAACTGTTATACAGAAAACAGAAAGCTTTGTTGACAGTGCAAAATTCTTTGCCCAAGGGAGTGACAGTGTTCCTTTATGCAGCATAAAAGTCAAATGGAGAGAAATCCAATTTACAACCGCTAGTTTAATGAGGATTGTCCAAGTGTGGGAGATAGTGTATCCAAACTGAATTTTCCTCCCTCTCCCTTCCTTTTTTTTTTTTTTAATGACTTTTCTCTTTTAGCACCTACTTAAGTGTCAATATAAAATTATGATTTGCAGCCTGAAACATTGGCTTCTAACTAATGATTTAAAACAGGTATCTGAGGAGATGATTCTGATTGTGTGCAAATCCTTTGTAAACTGGCTTAAACTGTATCTTTGGTTAAGCAGAGTGAAAGTTTTTAACTGTCTTTTTTCTGTAAATGTGATGATGTCAATAGCAAAACCTGTCACAGGACTTGAACTGTGTCTTATCAGACACAGAACTCTTATCAGAAAGAGGAGTAGGGGTAGAAAGGATTCTAGGTCACTGATGTCACTTTAGTGGCTGTATTAGTTATTAATTTTGGGCAGAGTACTGTTTTTTTCTGGGAAAACCTGTGCCTTGCTAAGATAGGTAATGAGAGCACCATAGTCACCATGAGTGGTGTCAGTATAGTTTGAGACAAGGGCTTATTCTTCTAGCAATTTTAATCTTTACATATCCATTACAATAACATATAAAAGTAGCCAGAACACTTAAGATCCCAGATCTGTACATTGGCATAGCCACTTAGGTCATGCTGGATGACTGTTAAGTGGTTTCAAATATTCTATTTTCATTCAACTAGTTTATAGAATACAGTGTTAAACAATAATATGTAATCGCATTACCAGGAAATTATTTTGATTTGAACTTGAGAGAACTGCAAAAAATTCACTCTTGTATAATTCTAAAGAGATGCCCTTAAAACACTAGTTCTTAGTGATTAATTATACCTAATAGCTTTTATACCTAATTTATACCTAATTTATACCTAATTTATACCTAATTTATACCTAATTTATACCTAATTTATACCTAATTTATACCTAATTTATACCTAATTTATACCTAATTTATACCTAATTTATACCTAATTTATACCTAATTATACCTAAATGTTTTATGAAATTGAAGTAAATGGGCTTTGCTTAGGTCAGTTATGATGTATATTAACTATGAATTTTATTGAGAAGAGCATTCACGAATAAAACTGGGTCTTCTCTGTGGGAACACATCCTTAAGGGGAAGGTAGCACCTAAGATTCATAAATGCTCATTGGTTGAAAGGAACAACAAAAGTCAGAGGGTCTGCAAACAATCAGAGTTTTATTAGTAAATTACACAGTTAGCATGGAAATGGGTATATTAGTCCCTGACCTACTATATATAAGCACATGGCTGTCAGTTTTGGATATAGGAGTAGGGTAAGAGGGAAGAGAGGAGTTAAAGAGGGAGAGATGAATTAAGAAAGAGGAAAAGAGAAAAGAGACAGGAAAAAGAGAGAATTTAAGAATGAAAAAGAGGAGAAAAGATAGAAAGAGATCAGCAGTCATTCCAGCATCAATCCATCTGATGGCATGTCAATCCTGGTTTCAGTCTCAATCCAGGTGATAAGTTTTGATCCAGCTGCTTCGGTCTGGCTGTTGAGACATTCAGGATCCTGGGGGCACTGCCTGGGCTTGGGAGAGTTCCTTTTTATGGATGGGTTTCTCTACCCCAAAGATAGGTTTCGTGCTTTCTGTGTAAATTAGTTATCATGCATAGTCTGTTCTTTCAGGCCTTTCTGGAAATGGATCAGAGGGCTTCAGGGGTCTTTGGTAGTCTTAACCTCACCCTGTTGTCCATGTTCACTGCCTGCCACTCATTCCTGTGCTTGCACTGTACTATGTTGTGGTTCTTTCTAAAGGAAAAGTGCTTCCGTACCTCCACCTGGTCCCCCTTCTCCAGCCAAATCTTATTCTTTCTCATGGTGTGTTAATACCAATAGTCCTTGATTATTACCAACAGTTCTTGTCTGTTAGTTACTAACAGTCCTTGGCTGGCTCCACAGCCGTCTGGTTATCAGCATTTGAGACATACACATTAGCTCCTTATCTTCTGGGAATTGAGAGCTCAAAAGGATCTCACTTTGGACTGTTATTTACAGGGTCATTAGAGAGTGGGCTTTAATATACATTAACCTCTTATAATCAAGAGTTCAAAAGGGTCTCATTTTGGACCACTCCTTATAGGGTTGCGAGAGAGTGGGCTTTAGTCATAGTAATTTTCCATCCTAGCTGTTAATTGAGACGGTAACTTGCTTTGAAGATTCAATAACAAAAATATTATTCTACTTGAGTTGTTAGTCACACAAGAAAAATGAATTTCCAAGACTTTGTTAAAAACAGGTGCTGATTAAATACATGTTAGTTCCTGGGAACAGACAGTGTTTCTGATAAGCTTAAGGGGGGCTTAGTCCAAGTGCACTTCATCAAGGCCAAGGCCTAATGAGCATTTCTCAGATCATAGTGTGGCCTGGGTGGGGGGAAGCGGAGAATGCAGCACCACAATCCATCCCGTGACTACAGTCAACTTCTTTTGGCCTCTAAATTCTCAATTCATGAGCACAAAAGTTGTTAGAAACCTAATTAATAAAATTTTTGAAATATTGTATGTTGTGGAAATAATATCTGCTCATAAGGATAACTAACTTCTCAAACAGGAGTTATTTGAAGTATTAAGTACTACAACACAGGCTTGTAACTATCTTCACTAATGATACTTTGTCAGCTTGTGAAGGGAGATTAAATGTCTTGGAACTCTTACTATATGACTGAAGTAGTTTTCTAGTTGCATCAGTATTTGCTCTAGGAATCTGTAGATGCTAAGGTTTAAAATTATATACCTGATTGGGATTACCCGGAAGTATATTGACATTGCAGAAAAGCAGTATTTGTGTACTGTTTAAAAGGAGTTGAATTTCAGCATGTCACAGGTGAATTTTTATTCGGATTTTATTTCTAAATTGGGATTTGTGTAAGGTTTAGATGTGAATTAAAAGATTGTAGCATTGAAATTTAACTGTAGCAGTTAGCTACCCAGATGAAAGGATTTTCTTAGTCTTGAAAACTATTCTTGAACCATGTTTAAAGAAATTAATTAAAAAAGTAAATTATAAAGCTATGACTTATTAGTGAATGCTTTATTCTTCTGGCACAGCCTTTTACTAGCTCTGGCTAATTCCCTACTTTAACCATGTAGAAGAGTTACTGCCCAATGTCTAACAACACAACTTTTAGATTTCATATTTAGTAATTGAGTAATTCCTGTCGGTAATTGAGTTTGACTACCTTGCTTTCAGGTCTTTTGAACAACTTTCAGTTAAGAAAAAAACCCCGGGTGTAGCTTGTTTATAAAAGCTTGTGTCATGTATTTAAGTATTTTTGTGTATTTACATGAAAATTGGAGTATTAAATCACCTGAAAATTATTTCAGAATGCAGTCTTTAGTATATGATAGGAAAGTAATGTGAATTCTTGTGTTTCTATTAGTTAATTTTAAGAGCAGGGGGTAGGGAAAGAGTTTCTTTTTGATGTAATTTTATGCCAAGGGCTTTGTTTTGATCTGTGGAAAAAATATCTTCATTGGGTAACTTAGATCTTTTTAGATCTGAGCAAAACATTTCTTTAAAAGCAGTGGCCAAAAGTCTTGAAAGATGCTGATTTCCATTGAATCATTAAAT